ATTACTCCGATCTTCCTCAATAGTTTTTATAACAACCAATGGACTCCCCGCTTTTCCTGGGCTTCGACGTATCAACTCAATCATGCAAGGCAGTAGTGGTCGATGGAAATCTCAACACTGTCTTTTCTACCTCCCTTAACTTCGACAAAGATCTGCCGCAGTATCACACCATCAACGGAGTGTAATGACGATCATCTTCTCGAGACCATCAATCACTCAGGACTCCCCTCAGGTCGATCAAAGACTCTTCAGGAGTAGCCAAGTCGCCCTCGGCGATGTTCTCCTCTGCACTTCAGCTCTCCATAGAGCGACTACGACGAGCCGGGTGCCCACTGAAGAGGTCGGGCTCTTCCATATTCTCTCAAAAGACGGTATTGGGTTCTCTTTAGGATAGTATGTATCAGCGGGTCAGGGCAGCAGCATGGTAGTGTCTACCTCGCCGCTACAGCGATCAATGGCCTACTACCTGATGATGACGATACTGATGATGATGAAGACCTTGGAGAATGGCAGCTCGAGCACGGCTTGTTCGCCATGAAAGATGGTGAACAGTTCATGTTATCAGGAGTCGTCATTGCTGCTGATAGGGCCCATCTGGATGGATACCTCTACCAGTGAGGAGTGTCGACAACTGGCACACTGTGTTGGAGGTGATGATAACTTGGCGAAACTCACTGGCTCGAAGGCATGGGAGAGGTCATAACGAAGAACGATCACTCCTACACTCTACTGAACGTGGTCGTTCTTCGGAAGCCGTACTTTCCCATTTCACGTTTACTGGCAATCAAATTCTAAAACTGCGGAGACACTCGCCAGAGGTATTCGATCGGACGGCCAGGATCTGCCTAGTCAGCAGCTTCTGCGCCGGTGTTCTCCTCGGACGCCCAACTCGAGTCGACTATTCCGATGCTGCTGGAATGAACATGATGGAACTCTCCTCCCTAAATTGGTCTCGGCCAATATGCGACTTCATCGATGGGAAGAGCGCCGATGCTTTGACCACCAGACTGGGCGGTCAACCCGCGGACCCGATGGCCATCGCCGGGAGTATTTCAACGTAGGAGTTCAGCTGATCGCCACTCGACCAAGTCTCCCTTGCTCAGGTATTGGCAGCATCGGTACGGCTTCTCACCGTCCTGCACTGTTAACTACTGGAGTGGAGACAACCCGTGTGCAGCCGCCGGGATGGGCCTCCTCAACAGTGGCGATATACTCGTAGTGCTCAACTCCGGACAGAAGTCGTCTGAGTGATGCAGCAGGTCTCTTTGGGGACTAGTGACACGTGCCTCTGTGTGCTCCCTTCGATGCCCGTGTCACCACCACCATCAGCGTTCATATTCCCTCACCCTGTCAAGCCTGGATCTTTCATAGCCATGCTAGTGTATACCAACGGGGACGTCACTCGGAGGACTGTCAAGGGCAACAGGTGGTGTTTGATCGCTCACTCACGTTATATAGTAGATTGTGAAGGGTCCCGAGTTCGATTCCTGGGTCATCCATTTTTAAAATTCAGATCCTGGGATCAGTTTTCGGAATCGATTCGAGCTAGCAGCCCTGGTAAATATCTAACGCTGTTCACGAGTACTCAGGAGATCCTTCCTGCATTACAAAAAGGTGATCCAATAACCGTCGAGATTGGAAATAGAGATGACGAGGTATTTTTT